ATGGGCCCAATGACAAGAAAATAATGGAAGGAGAGAAAGAAAGACAGGGGGATTTCGTCTTCACGGCGCAGAACCCTGGGGAGTATCGATTCTGTTTCAACAATGAAATGTCGACATTTGCCGACAAGATGGTGGATTTTGAGGTTGCGGTAAGCATCGCAGGCACTGAAGACGTGAGCATAATTGACATGTGCATTACAGGTCGAAGATGAATCCAAGTCTGCTCTCCTCCCTCAAAAGGCCGGATCGTCGCCCGAACAAACCTCTGCACTAGAAGATATGATCTACAAGATCGGTTCACAGTTAAGCACAATTAGCCGGATGCAGAAATACTTCCGGACAAGAGAGAACCGCAATTTCAGTACAGTCAGGAGCACGGAGCGGAGAGTCTTCAATTTCAGTATGATCGAGGTATGCATGATGGTTGGTATGGCTGGTTTGCAGGTTTTGGTGGTTAGATTCTTCTTCCAGGGTGCCCGGAAAGGTAGGTTGTCATGGTTCTGTTCATTGAAATATCGTCCACTAACACTCTGGCTACAGGATATGTATAAAGTACGGGTTAGGCGTCAGACGCGTTACGTTCTGAATTTATCCGAATGTAACAAAAGATCATATTGTTACGACAGCGCCTGCATGATGTTCGTCACACTTGCCTGGCGAGACTCCACGACCGGCGGCAGCAATATCTTTGAGGTGATCTTGATCAAATATCATGACTGCTCCACTGCCTGCCGTCTCCTGCCTGTGTAATTTCTGGGCTGCTCTTGTCCCCCGGCTGTTGAATCCTTCGCTCACCGTCCAACATTTCTCGAAAGCTCGGCAGGATATGACTGAAGTGATGTATTTACCCTGGTCAGCGAGCGGGCTGAGGGCGTCCTGTGGCACGGGAAGGCTATAGCATGTCAAGCTGACGTGTCACCGGTGCCGAAGAAGCATGCCATCTGGTGGAGAATATCATTATACTTCACCTTCATATAGCAAGCATTGCTCAATGTTGCATCACGCCCCACCGGCAGCGACACTGTCATGACTGTCTTCTTTATTCATTAATCGTGGGTATCTCTTTCTACGCAGCCAATAAGCATTGCATACGACAACCCAACATCGCCAACTACAGGCCTTTCTTCTTCGAGCCAATATTCAACAACCACCCAATCCCCTCAACAGCATCCCTCATCCGTTTCCTACTCATCTCCAATTCAGGAAACATAGACCACCAACAATGTCCCCACCCAGCATACAAATCCAACCTAGTAGGCACACCACACTCCTCCCGTAGCACCCTCTCATAAATCAATCCATCATCCCTGAACACATCCATCCCACAAACCTGGAAATAAGCAGGCGCGACACCCAAATGCCCATGCCGTACAGATCCCGTCCCCTCATCAAGAGGATGATGTTGATCAAAACTCGCATACAATTTACTCGTCAAGTCCGGCTTGAACGCTTCCCTAAACATCTTGAATAGCGCCTCATCCAAGATCGGCGCATTCCGATTCTGCTCGAAACTGAGATACCTCTCCTTATACTTGGCCGGAACATTCAAATCTGTCATATACGTTCCCACGCACAGGAATTGCCCTGTCAATGGTGGAAACAGGTTATGATCTCTCGCAAGATGAGCCAGTGACGCAGCGAGGTTAGCTCCGGACGAGGTCCCGCCGACGATGAAGCCAGTCCGTGCATCCGTGCAGCGCGGCAGGATCGCGGAATTCGATTTGCGCGACTCACTGGCTGCGAATTCCAACGTTTCCCAGGCGTCACAGATGGAGAACGGGAATGGGAACTGCGGCGCGAGACGGTATGAGGCGCAGATGACGATGGCGGAGTGCGTCGACGCCAGAGCCCGGGCCAAGGGCAGTTCGGTCTCCGGGTGCCCGACGCAGTGGCCGCCGCCGTGGAAGAGGATGATCAGCGGTGCTGGGGTGGTACGTTCCAAAGCGCATGTTAGATGACATATTATGATGCGGGAGGGGTAGTTGTCGCGGAGAGGCATAGAGTATTGGGTCTCCGTTATGTCGGGTGGTCGTGAGGCTGAGAGGCGTTCTTGAAGAGGCGCCAGGGCCGATGCGCTCTGTTGTTTGAGGTCGGCGATGGTGTAACTTGTGCCCGGTGGAATGGGTTCTGCTTCTAGAGTGCCGGCAAACTCTGGGTCGATATTGCCCGTTTCTAGAATCTCGGCGGTTGTTGAGGGTGGGGTGGATGGCATGGTGAACCTGGCGATGGCGACGAGGGGAGACCAGTAGCCTTAGTCCAAGGTTTGGGCATTGAGCATTGAGCCTCGTCTGGTAAAAGAGAATCCGGGCGTCTGCTTGGGATAAGGCCTTTTCGAAGTGCGGACGTCGCGTTGTCCGACAAGAATGTCCGGAGCTGAGTCCAGCCTTGCGGCCCCCAATGGGCAATCGAATGCAAGGGGGCGATTTCGTACGTCGCAAACATAAGCAATGCGATAGCCTTGTCAGATCGTGAGTAAGATGGAAATCAAAGCCGATTGGTTGAGGTTCTTCAGGCTGACCACCTATCCTAACTGGATATGAGGAGGCCTAACCAGGCTGTGATTATCGAGAAGCCACTCTCAGACACATCACGGCCAATATTTGATAGAGTGGCACGTTTCTGATTCCGAATATACCTAGGTAGATGTTCGAGAGGGGAATTAGCGGATGATCGACCGGGTATGGCGGTGAAGGAAGTATGGGAGGCGCGGGACAGATCTGGACCTAATTCGATCGCGTTCGGAATTACGCGAATGATTGTGCCAAGTGAGTCATCTGGCATGAATGGTGCGGAAAGGCAGCCTCGTGTCGCTTTACAGTAAGATGACACGAGCATACAGAAGCTTTAATCGAGTTGTGTCTTTGAGGACCAAAGCTGCAGCCGGGCTTGCATACTGACCCTTCCAACAAGATATCTGATTGTCAAGATTTTCCAGACCTTTCAGCCTTGCCCTAACATTCGAACATCTTGGTTGTACTGACGTTGATCCTGCTCCATTTCTTTCCTGTTCGGAAGCAGGATAAGAACTGCATAGGCCAGTAGACGTGGTACAGCCACCACCATGGAAGCGGGTCCCAAATGTCAAATGCGCCGTCCTTCCAGGTAAGAAGGTGATTGACAAAAGTGGAGTAGTTGCGGATGAGCTCACGCAGCGACATCTGAAGGGTCAGAACAGAAAGGGTGGGCATGATCACTCTCGTAACCAGATCATGGCCGACCCAGTAGTATTTATCGTTGCGTGAAGGGATGACCGGACCAAATCCTTTCGATGTCTCTCCAAGGACCGAAAGATAGCCATCCACCATGGCCGTCGTCCCGCTGAACAGTGCAACCGCCGTGTGTGCTCTCGGGTTGCATTCAATGGGATAGAGAGTGATGTTTTTGGCGTTATGAACGTCTTCGTCCGAAACCATAAAATCGAAGGAGAGATGACCAGTAAACCCTGGACCTCCAGCGTTTGCATATTTCGTCGTGAAATCGAGCATGGCCCTGCTGAGAGCAGAATCCGCCGGAAGTGCCACATAATGCATGAGCAACTCGGCAGAGGGACAAGCCACAAAAGCTTTGACCTGACCTTTGACGACCAGTGAGTGGGTGCAATATTCTTCACCTTTGATGAATTGTTGTATGATCCAAGGCATCTCTCTTGAGATTCTGAGCTTCGCAACATGCTTGGAGGTTTCCAAGGGCGTGGCCTTGGGAAGTAGTGTCATATCAGCACGGGCCGTGTCGTCGACTCCGGTGGGCTTCATGATATATTTACGTCCCAGAGGAGCGTCACGCAAAAACTTCTCCGCCTCGGCTTGGCTGCTGACCTCCTGGGTGTCGGGAATTGTAAGACCGATTTCCTGGGTGTGAGAGATGAAAGTATGTTTTTCATGCAGCGTCTGAGTCGTTTCAATGTCGAATTGAATGGCCTTGCAGTCCGTCCTGCCTTCAATGATTTCCTTTGCCATTCCATCTTCGACTGCCGAAGCCACGCCTGAGCAACTGACCCAGAGTTCTATCTTCTCTCTCGTGATGATGTCCAGCAGACTATGAACATATGGAGCTGATCCGGACTTCACGTCTGGCTTTCTCAGGGGATAGAACTTCTTGATCGATCTCGACACTCTTCCGCAGACAAGTGATCCATTCGGCTCGAAGTCAGCTCCAATCACATAATGTCCTGCCTCATAGAACTGTCTTGCCAGCACCAGGCCTTTTGTCATACCAACACCTGTGACAAGGATTCTCCGTGGATGGAACCCAGACCTCTGCCATGCCTGGTATCGTTTGAATTCTGCTACCCCAGAAAACACTGAGCGTACGAACAAACTAAGAAATAGAATGAAAGTATCAAATGGAAGGAATATCAAGCTCAGAATGAGAAGTGCGGCATTTTGCAGCCTATGGGCAAGAACAGAGGAGGTACCGTCGAGCATGGTGGCGATGGACAGAACAGCGCCAGTGACCTACTGAGAGAGAGGAGTGGGCAAGCCAGCAGAGGGAGGAAACGTACGGTGTTTACATGGCTGTGCCAAATAAGGAATTTCGGGCGGTAATGCAATGCCATAATGGACCAAAAGTGTAAACGTCACTAGACACCAGGTGGGGACATGTTTTTGACAATCTTGACAGGATCTCACAAAGGTGCTAGCGAGGGCGGGAACTTTTTTCGTGTAACCAGTCTTCAGATACGAAGAGCGGTTGTTAAGGTGACAATCAAACATCATCTTGCTAGAAGATTTGGATGAATATGACTTTCGCAGAACTGAGTGGCGTGGTTTACCGTAGACAGTCTATGTACGCTACGGGGAAGCATAATAGCTTTACTTGTGTGCTTGCCCCTTTTCATTGACTCACAAAATTCTCATCACTCCCAGTCACTTGCATTGTTTCGTTGTCCATGGGGCCGTCCTGACGCCGGTGACTCACAAGCACTCCGGCACAAATTCAGTGACATATTGTGAAGGCCGCAATTTTGGGCCATAAATTCGCACACAGAATTTTAACAAATGGGTCGGGTAGATCAGTTGGTTTAGATCGTTGACCTAATACTTCCAAGGAACAGTCAAAGGCCGAGGGTTCAAGCCCCTCTCTGACCATGATTCTTTTTTGCCATCCTCCTGCTGGTGAAACAAGTCGTCCTTTTTGGGTCCTCCATATGGAGGTGTGGACGAAGAAGAATTTTTGCACCGGACCCACATGCATGCAGCGAGGCTGGGGTTATTGACTAGATGATTCAGGCTGAACAAAATGAGACCCAAGGAGAAGAAGGAAGATGTATGAAAGGATCCTGAGTCGTATGGACCATTCGTTCAGCTAGGAGATCTTGAGAAATTCGAAAGCGAGTCTGACCCCGCAAAGCTCAATTTGCTTCAATGCCTGTGCATCTGGTGATCTCGATGCCATCCTAGAGAGTGAGTAAGTAACGCTGACACCAATCATGGGGTGTAATGGACTTACCGGCACTCCTGTAGGTTCCCAGCTGTTGATCAGATTGCTCTCGTAAACCAACAGAGGGTTACCGACCCTGGTCTCGTCCAACTTTGCCTCGCCTTCTCGCTTGGCGTACTGTTTGGCTGTTTTGTCGGCAAATCGACTGTCCACTCCGTTGGTGGTTCCGTTGGACTTGTTGGCATTTTTCTTTTGTTGCACGGTACTCCGCACGTATTCGAGATACGGGGGATTTCCTGGTTTGATGACATTATCGGCTGCCATGACTGTGCCTGGAGTGATCATTCCCAGCTCCTCGCAGAGCTTCAGATCGGTCGTATAGGCAGGTTTGTAATGATCCAAAAACATTAGGTCAATGTGCTTGAGACTGCCATTGGAATGCAGCCTCTTGATGGAGGCATCACTTGAACCGACAACAACCTTGACAATGTCGCTCAAACCAGCGAGATCGACCAAGGACGCAATGACGGCGGCGAATTCCGGATTTCTTTCAAGGCTGAAGTATCTTTGACCCCCAGCCTTGCGAACTGCATCACCAAAAAGAATGCATGAATAGCCAATATAGCCACCCAGCTCAACCATTACCTGGGGTTTGACTTCGGCTATTAGGTCGGCAACAATACGCCCTTTGTCTTCACCCACATTCATGAGGTATTTCTTGGTCCGGGCATATTCATCGATGGCGGCCAGCACTTTTGTTGGCGAGCCTCTTATGCTATCTACATCTGGTTTGGAGTAAACGAAATGCAGAAGCTCGATCTCGCGGCCATCATCAAACTAAAGCGCCGGTTAGTGGGTGACATGTGTTGGATCAAGGGATTATCGGGTACAAATGTCTCTTCCTGCTCCTGATACTGTTTTGAGGAGTCGAATTCGGCCATTGTTGCGGTCAGTTTCCAAGATACCTTTCAGAGATGAATGCTTCGGTCTCTTGAGAGTGAAGAACTTTGCCAGTCTCACATACAACAATCCTGCCGAACGGATGAGTGATCCTACATGCTCGCGGCTGGCAACTCGAGAATAATGACAAAGGTCTGCATGACTAGCGCCTTGTAGCGCCTTGAGATCTGAATCTAGAAACACTCGAAGCGGGAGCGATCAGATCTCCGGAAGTACCTCCGGCCACTTGGATTGGAGACTCTCCTTACTCAGGGACGGGTTCCAGGCGATGAATCAAGTGTTGGTCTGCCCGGTGTGGGGAAGGGATTCGCCAGTCGAGACGTGTACGGGGCAACGGGATTTTCACGAATTCGTTGACGTGCATATGTAAACGTAACCCGTCTGAAGGAGGACAGGATACAAGTACTTGTGATAGCTTTGGTTGGGGAACACTAAGGTACCACTAATAAGAGGAGTACAGATACCACAGAAGAGGTTGATTTAGACGCTGATGATTCGATGATGTCAGACGAGCCAATCATAAAGCTGGACTAACTCCTAATGAGGTCTAGCGATCATTGGCTACTCCAATATCGACAGCTTCATCGTCAATTCAAGTTTTTCTTTCTTTCTTGATCCTTGAAAGTCATTTTCCCACTTGTTCGTCATCACTCGCTCTATATGGAGACGGGCTCATGTTATGAACCAGATGGAAGACGTCTTTGACTGCATGTGTTCACCCCTGAGTGGATCTCTGCATATGCCGTGACGCGCCGCATCTTGACACCCACCAACTCAATCTGCTATCCGATCTTGCGCTAGGATCTGACATGCCATCACACCATTTCGACCACCTATTGCCCTGGCCACCACCAATTCAGTTGCACTGAACCGGCATATTCCCTGACAGCTGCTGTACGTCTATCCAACGGTAGGAATAAGGACCTGCAGCTCGCACGGGCGGTCTGCCCTCTCCAAAGGCTGGCTATATTCTCCGGAGCACGTTATCCCAGACCCTTCTGTTGCTCAACACGAGTAGGATCTTCTACTACATCATGACTGTACCTGGCCTGAATCTTAATCTGCATGCTAATCTGTTTCGTGAGCCTTGCATGCTTGTAACGGGCCACCCGCTACACGATCCCTGCTTTGCCTTGCTGCATGAGCTCCCCTAGTGGAACCTTTTCACAGAGATCTGTTCCACGGAAGACGACTGCACCCGTCCTTATTCTTCCACCGAGTAACACATCCGGAGAGATGGAAGACGTCTTCTGTGGCATACAGTGAGTAAGTCAAAGGTCCACTGCTGATCACGTCTTGACGAGTCGTTGATGCTCGTGGTTGGGAAGGATTTGGATATATTACCCCGGGACTTTCCTCCTAGCTTGTGGCTTTTCCCCCAACCCAACCTTCTAGTCTCTGTTCTTTTTTGCAAATTCATTTACCAGACTTTCCCATTCAACATGTCTGACCTCAAAGCAACCGTCGCCGAGACCAAGGCAGGTTTCCACGTCGAGGGATATGAGAAGATCGAGTACGACTTCACCTTCATTGATGATGTCTTCGAGACCAGCAAGAGCAACTTGGCCGACTGCTACAAGCGGTGGGGCCGTTGCCTGGCTGTCATGGACTCCAACATCTTCGACGTCTATGGCGAGCAGATGGCAAAGTACTTCGAACACTACAACATTGACCTCGACATTCACAAAACAATGATCGGCGAGAAGGCCAAGTCAATAGACACTTTCTTGAGCATTGTCGACTCCATGAACAAGTTCGGAATCTACCGAAAAGTGAGAAGCCGCACAACGACTTTCTACCCCTGAAGCTAACATGCTCAAGGAACCTGTTCTCGTCATTGGCGGTGGACTGGTCACGGACGTTGCTGGGTAAAAGCTACCACCTGCCAAAGATGACTTCAAGGCACTCTGACCCATATATCTCCTTGGCTGTGTACCGGCATGAACGCTTTACTAACCTCTTACATCCAGTTTTGCGTGTGCGGCATACCGCAGAAACACCAACTTTATCCGCATTCCGACCACAGTTATCGGTCTCATTGATGCATCCGTGTCCATCAAGGTTGCTGTCAATTATGGCAACTACAAAAACCGATTGGGTGCTTACCACGCGCCAATGCACACATTCCTCGATTTCGGCTTCCTCCGAACTCTGCCGGAGGCACAAATCCGCAACGGTTTTGCTGAGCTAATCAAGATCTCCACTTGTGCTCATCTTCCCACCTTCGACCTGCTTGACAAATATTGCGAGCAGCTGATCAAGACCGGCTTTGGTCGAACCCAGGGTGCACCCGAGGAGGTTCGTAAAGCTGCAGACACTATCAACCGTGCTGGCATTCATGAAATGCTGAAACTCGAAACCCCCAATTTGCACGAGATTGGGCTTGATCGAGTCATTGCTTACGGCCACACGTATGTACTTATCTTCGGTTTTTGACCCCTCACTGATGCACTTTAGTTGGTCACCACTCCACGAGTTGGTGCCAGAAGTGCCACTGCGACACGGTCATGCTATTTCCATTGACATGGCATATTCGGCAACCCTGGCAAACATGCGCGGCATTCTCAGTGACGAAGAGCACAAGCGGATATTGAACCTCTTCTCACGAGCAGGATTGTCCATGGATCACCACCAGTTCGACGAAGAAATTCTCGACAAGGGCACCAAGGCAATTCTGAAGACCAGAGATGGTCTGCTCCGCGCTGCTGTACCCAGCCCTATCGGACAGTGTGTCTTCTTGAACGATGTCTCTATGGATGACATGTTCGCTGCGTTGAAGAAACACAAAGAGCTGATGAAGAACTATCCTCGAAACGGAGAGGGTCTTGAGGCTTTCGTTGACGCTAGTGACACTGGATACACTGTGAACAACAAGCCAGTCGAGGAATCGAACGGCAGCGTATCCAACGGCCTCAAGAAGCTCAACGTTCTCAACGACGATACTCAGGCCAACGGCGCGGCCGCCAATGGACATTCCAACGTTGATGGCAAGAAGACAAACGGTGTGTCCAAGGCTACCCAACTACGCTCTGGTGAAGAGAAGCCTACTGAGCTTGCAAATGGAGCCTCAGATGCAGGAACGAATGGATTGGCAAAGGGTTTGGCCAATGGAGCCAATGGCCATACTAACGGCGTCAATGGCCATTCTAACGGAGTACATTGAAGCCGCATTTCAAACAGCTTCATACCTTCATAGCCTGGGGTTATATTAGAAGCTTGGGATATTCTTTGATATACAAATAAAAAGCATACTGCGTTGGGGGTTCCTCGGAACAATGTGGTTGTTGTAACACCGTCACGACACGCTCGAGACCGCGTGCGAGACAGTGACACTGAAAATGCCTTGCTGCAATGTTTTCCTGCCAGCGTGAACAGCTTGTTTTTAGCCATAGTGATCATAGTCTTCGCATTTGTCCACCCACTCCACGTCTCTTGAGGCGATTTCACCTCTCATCCGGTCAAGTTTGCATTAATCCAATATTTGTGTCTTCGTGTAGGCCTGCCATTGACGGAATGCCAGTGGAGTGCGATCTGCCTTGCTTACAGTCATTTTAGCGAATCATGATGTCAATACTTCAACCGAAGTCGGCGGCTCTATCGCGATGGAACATGTTGTAGATCGTGGAGCGTGATTCTCCGAGGTGTACTTGCGTCTTTGTGCATTTCGTCCTCTCGGCACGATTCTCAACATTATCCTTAACCATGTGGCAAACGACTGCCCGGGCTAATCGCACAAACCACGTTTGAT